GTATGAGGCCCTGGGTTTGATTCTCAGCACCATATATAAATAAATGAATAAAATAAAGATCCATCAACATCATACTCCCAACCCTCAGTGACCCACCTCTTCCAACTAGACCCCACCTCCTGAAATTTTCACCACCTTCCTATAGCTGAGGGGTGGGGAGTGGGAGAATGGAGACCAAGTCTTTAACATACAAACCTTTGGAGACATTCCAGATCCAAACTATATAACACAGAAACACTCAGAAATAATGTTTCTATTATTTAGAAATAATGTTTATCTAGGTATCCCTTGGCCAAGTCAAGCTGACATATAAAATTAACCATCATAGATTGTAGTATTCCTAAAATTGATTTAAGATTCAAAGTAATCCTTATCAAAATCCCAGTTTAGGCTGGGCAAAGTGGCCTATGCCTATAATCCCAACAACTCAGGAAGATGACATAGGAGGATCACAAGTTCCAGGACAATTCAATTCCCAGTATAAAAAAAAAAAAAAAAAAGCTTATTTCTGTGCAAAAATTGACAATCTGGTCCTAAAATTAACAAGGAAATTCAAATTCTAAAATAGCCAAAACAATCTTGAAGAAGAATAGAGTTGGAAGACTCACACTTCCTAATCTCAAAATTTACTACAAAGCTATCGTCTTCAAGGCAGTGAAATATAGCATAAAGATAAACAGATTGATGGAATAGTTTTGAGACCAGAAATAAATCCTCATGCTTTTGGTCAATTAATTTTCAAAAAAGTACCAAGAAAATTCAACAAGGAAAGGATAATCTTTTCAACACATAGTACTCATTCAACTGTGTATCCACATGAAAAAGCACAAAAACTGTGATGATCAATTTTAGGTTTTGACTGAAAGAAAGAAGCTTACATGGCCCCTGAAACAGTTTCTGGGTGTTTTGGTGAGTGATTTTTTTTTCCCTTTTCTTTTCCCTTTTCTTTTTCTTTCTTTCTTTCTTTCTTTCTTTTTTTTTTTTTTTTTGTACCAGGGATTGAACCCAGAGCACTCAGTCACTGAGCCACATCCCCAGTCCTATTTTGTATTTTATTTATAGACAGAGTCTCACTGAGTTGCTTAGCACCTCGCCTAGTTGCTGAGGCTGGCTTTGAACTTGCAATCCTCCTGACTCAGCCTCTCAGCCACTGGGATTACAGGAGTGCACCACCATGCCCAGCTACAGTGAGTGTGTTTTCAGAGGAGATTGATGTGAGTTGATGAACTGAGGAGGTAAGATCTGCCCTTGGTTGGGTGGGGAGCTTGGACAGTGATGGCGGAGCTGACAGAACAAAAAGGGAGAAGGGTGAATTCTTGCTCTTACTCTTCTGGAGCAAGATGCCCCACTTCTTCTGTCCTTAGACTTTAAGAATCCATGATTTTTTTTGGTATTTGAAGACTGGGATTTGCATCCCTGGGACTCTGGGACTGAGCCATACTATAGACTTTTCTGGTTCTTCAGCTTGCAGAATGCCTATTATGGAACTTTTTATTCCCCCAAATCATGTGAGCCAATCCTTTCTCATAAATCTGTATATCTACATCTGTATCTCTCCTCCGTTGACTCTATGAAAAACCTTAACTAACACAAATCTCTTCCTTATACCATATACAAAGATTAACTCAAAATGGGTCATTTATTAAAATGTGAGAACTAAAACTATAAAAATCCTAGAAAAAAAATTGGAGCTAAATCTTTCTTTTTAACTCTCAGTGAGACAAAGCCTTCTCAGATGAGTCTGAAAGTATGTGATAAAGAAAAAAAGCACAGGTAAACCAGTCTTTATCAAAAACAAAAATTTCTATATTTTAATGGATACCATTAAAAGTGAAAAGATAAGCCAGCATGGTAGCACATGCCTGTAACCCCAGCTACTCATAAGGCTGAAGCAGGAAGATCATAAGTTTGAGCAATTTATCAAGACCCTGTCTCAAAATAAAATAAGTAAAAAAAGGCTAGGGAACAGTTGAGTTGTAGAAGTCTTGTCTAGCATGTGCATGGTCCTAAATTTAAATTCCAGTACCATAAGAAAAGTGGGGAAAGGAAAGACAATCCACAGAATGAGAGAAAATATTTTACAGATCACATATTGGGTAATGGGCTTATTTCTGGAATATAAAAAGAACTCTTGTGGGGCTGGGGATGTGGCTTAAGCGGTAGCATGCTCGCCTGGCATGCGTGCAGCCTGGGTTCGATCCTCAGCACCACATACCAACAAAGATGTTGTGTCCGCCGAAAACTGAAAAATAAATATTGAAATTCTCTCTCTCTCTCTCTCTCTCTTTAAAAAAAAGAACTCTTATAACTCAATAATAAAAGACAGATAATCCAATTTTAAAATATGTAAGAGATCTGAATACATACTTCTTCAAAAAATATACAAATGGCCACTAAGCACATGACAACATGCTAAAAATTAGCCATCAAGAAAATGCAGAATGAGGGGCTGGGGATGTGGCTCAAGCGGTAGCGAACTCGCCTGGCATGCGTGCAGCCCGGGTTCGATCCTCAGCACCACATACAAACAAAGATGTTGTGTCCACCGAAAAACTAAAAAATAAATAAATATTAAAATTCATTCTCTCTCTCTCTTAAAAAAAAAAAGAAAATGCAGAATGAAACCACAATGAGATACCACTTCACACTAACTAGAATGGCTACAATATAAATATATATATATATATATATATATATATATATGTATTAGTGAAGGTGTAGAGAAACTAGATCCCTTATTTACTTCTTGTAGAACTGTAAAATGTTGTAACCATCTTGGAAAAGAATCTGGTACTTCCTGAAAAGGTTAAACAAAGCCAGGCACAATGGCAAATGCCTCTAATTCCAGCAACTCAGGAGACTGATACAGAGCATGACAAGTTTGAGACCAACCTCAGGAAGTTCAAGGTCAGCCTAGGCAACTTAGCAATACCCCATCTCCATATAAAAAATAAAAACTGGGCATGGTAGTGCACACCTGTTATTCCAGCAACTCAGGAAGCTGAGGCAGGAAGAGCTTAAGTCATAGGCCAGCCTCTGCAACTTCCAAGACCCTGTCTCAAACAATAGGGCTGGGAATGTACCTCAATGGTAGAGTGCCCCTGGGTCCGATGACCGGTACTGATGGGGAAAAAAGGTTAAACACAGTCAATATGTGACTTAGCAATTCTTATTCTAGGTATATATGAAAGAGAAATAAAACATGATCCACACAAAAACTTGTACACAAAAGTTCACCCCAAAATTATTCATAATAGCCAAACTGTGGAAACTATCCATATGTTCCTCAACTGATAAATGAATAAACAAAATAAAAGGTGAGGAACAGGAACAATCTAATACAAAGGGCAACTGAAGCTTAGGGAAGGAAAGCTTCAGAAAATCATATTATTTGGATAGATAGAATGATTCTAAATTTTTGAGTTTCCAATGAGCTAGATCCTAGTAATTTAATACCAATTTAAAGGATTTTCTAAGAATATTTTGACTGACTACAGATTTTGACTCATAATCCTGCTATAGAACCTAATCCCTATGTAAAATGAACTCTTTTCATTGTTCAGGGATAGGCAATTCTGTTATGAACCTTGTAATTTGGTGAGAGCTTCTCTGTACTTTCTCATGGCCACTGCTCTGCCACCAAGGGGCAGCAGTTGCCTAACTCTCCCTACAACCAAAGATAAATGGATTTAGCAGGGACATGTGACTCCTGGATAGCCAACCCATAGATTGCTGGTAGGAAGAATAATGACCCCCAAAGATGTTCATGTCCTAACCTCTGGAACCTGTCAATATGGCAAAAGAGACTTGAGATGGGCAAAATTATCCTGGATTATCCCAGTGCACTCAATGAAATCACAAGGGTCCTGACAAGAGAGAGAAAAGTCAGAGATGTGACCACTGATGCAAAGGTAAACCAGTATAATACAAGGCCCGGGAAGGAACATGGGCAGCCTCTAGAGGCCACAATAGGAAGAAAAAAAATTTTTTTCTAGAGCCTTTAGAACAAATGCAGCCCTGCCAAAACCTTGATTTTAGCCCCATGGGGCCCATTTTGAATCTCAAATCTCCATAACTATAAGATAATGTATTTGTGTTATTTAGAGCTACTAAGTTTATAGTAACGTGCTATAGTAGCAATAGGAAGCTAGTACAGTGGGTCATTAACCTATAAATAGATAATATAACGATAAATTGGCCAATTTCCCAATCTCAGCAATCTGATTCTAAGCACTGAGACTTGATAGAAGGAGATAAACTGATGGAGATATACATGTGAAGTTAGGAGTAAAGAAGACTATGAGACAAACAAAGAAAGAAGCCAGCACTTAAAGCTTAAGACCTTGTGCCTGATGTTTTTCTTAATTGCCTCCCTCAGCAATCTTTTCAAGAATTCTCCCTAATCTAAAGGTAGCATGAATGAGTCTACCCCTTTCAAAAAGAGATCAACTAGAATCAAGGTCTCACATACAGTCTGCCTTATAGACCAGATCCTCTGAGGGAACTTCCAACCCTACTTTATTATTCAAGCTTTACTTACTACTGGGAGTGATATAGACATTTGGAAGAAACTCACTAACCACATATACTGCTATTATGAATACATTCCTTCAAAATATTCCTTAATAAATGCAATGAATAAGTTAATCTATAATTCATAAGTGTCAAGATACAACTGCCCAAGTATTTATTAGTCATAAAGATAGCACAATAAAATTCTAATGCAACAATATGAAAATAAAATTATTTTTCACGGGCTGGGGATGTGGCTCAAGCGGTATCGCGCTCGCCTGGCATGCGTGCGGCCCGGGTTCGATCCTCAGCACCACATACAAACAAAGATGTTGTGTCCGCCGAAAAACCAAAAAATAAATATTAAAATTCTCTCTCTCTCTCCCCCTCTCTCTCTTTAAAAAAAAAAAAAAAAAAGTAGAGAGCAACTAACTTGGTTTAAAAAAAAAAAAATTATTTTTCACCAAATCACACCTCTTGGTTCTTACCATGTAAGGATCCACAGAAAGATAAAGAGTTCTAACTTGTACTTGTCCTTCATTAATAGTATCTGGTATACTGACTTCTTCCAATCGGAAATTCTCTGCCACTGGATTACCATTTTTTCCTAAAATATCAGACAAAAATTTAGTCAAAGAGTCACTTCCCTATATACAGTTACTATTTTTTAAAAGATCACCTGGGATTCAGGGCACTCCCTTTTAAAACAGGCATGAATAAATCTATATTGTCTTGTAACTTCTCTGAAATTATAACAATGACTCAGCATAGTCTCAAGCAGTTTTCATCACTCTTGATGTTCTCCAAGAAGTTCTTTTCAAAGATTGCTGTCAGCTTCTAATTTTTTAAAAATTTTTTTGTTGTAGATGAACATCTTTCTTTCTTTTTTAATATTTATTTTTAGTTGTAATTGGACACAATACCTTTATTTCATTTATTTTATTTTTATGTGGTGCTGAGGATCAAACCCAGTGCCTCACACATGCAAGGCAAGCACTCTACCACTGAGCCATAACTCCAGCCCTCTAATGATTATAGGTAAATCATCTTACCTGTTTTAATTTTAGGATTTCAAAAAACAAAATCGCCTTCAGCTGTCTTTTTAATTACGAAAATTAAAATTTACAAACTAGTAGAAACACTTCCACCGAAGTGAAAAGTTAGGTGAGTTTTGCTTCCTCATTTTAAGAAGCAAACAGAATCTTTCTAAATATATATATATATATATATATATATATATAGAGAGAGAGAGAGAGAGAGAGAGAGAGATAAATTCTAACTATCCAACTACAACTAAAAAATAAATATTTTTTTAAAAAAGTTTCGGGCTGGGATTGTGGCTCAGTGGTAGAGCACTCACCTAGCATGCGCGGGGGCCTGGGTTCGATCATCAGCACCACATAAAAATAAATGAATGGAATAAAGGTATTGTGTCCAACTACAACTAAAAAAATAAAATTTAAAAAAAGTTTTAAAAATCAACAAATTAGAAATGTTGAGGCATGAAAAAAGTCTGTAAGCAGAAAATGTCATCACTAAAAGTTTACTCAGATTTGATAACTTTAACATAAGTAATCTGCCTTTTCAAGAATCATCAAATTTCTAAGGTGGGAATAGAACGTAGAGATCTTTTTTCCCCACTAGTACTGGGGATCGAATCTATGTGTGATCTACCACTGAGCTATAGCCTCAGCCCTGTTTATTTTGAGATAGGGTCTTACCAATTTGCCCAGGTGGACTTGAACTTGTGATTTTCCTAGCCAGTCTCCCCAGTACTGGGTTTTAGAATGTAAGGATCTTATTCTAACTGCCCACTTTTCTAAAACTGAAGTCAGAAAAGTTACATGACTTCCTCAGGTCACAGTAAACAGTAAAATGAAGATAACAGCGGGCCCAAACTTTTCAGGTAACTTACATACCAAAGTTTCTATGATTCAGTTAGATGTCAACTCTAACATAAGTCAGTACATTTAACATAAAACAGAAAATCAAATTTTAAGAATCAATGATACTTGGGGCTGGGGATGTGGCTCAAGCGGTAGTGCGCTCGCCTGGCATGCATGCGGCCCGGGTTCGATCCTCAGCACCACATACAAAGATGTAGTTTCCACCAATAACTAAAAAATAAATACTAAAAAATTCTCTCTCTCTCTCTCTCTCTCTCTCTCTCTCTCTCTCTCTNTCTCTCTCTCTCTCTCTCTCTCTCTCTCTCTCTCTCTCTCTGTCTCTCTCTCTTTAAAAAAAAAAAAATCAATGATACCTCCAGGCCTGGTGGCATACACCTGTAACCCCGGCAATTTGGGAGATGCAGGAGGATCACAAATTCAAGGCCAGCCTTAGCAATTCAGCGAGGCCCTATCTCAAAATAAAATATAAAAAGGGCTAGGGATGTGGTTCAGTGGTTAAGTGCCCCTGGGTACAATCCCTGGAACCCTCCCCCACCAAGAAAACACACTTATTTGTAATATGTGGCTTTTAAATGTTATGATACAAAAAATACCTTATCTCATCAACAATGGTCTTGATAAGTTATCATTTGAAAAAGTACTACATTGTTTAAAGAGTTTCTTCTGTTATATTATCTTATTTACTACCTTAGCTCACCAAATTAATATATTAGTTTTTATTCCTTCATATATATCAGCAATTATCAAAAAATGCAGTTATTCATTCATCATAGACAAATACCTACCAGGTCGGGAATTTAATACTACTTGCTGTACAATCATCACTCTGTTTGTGCAGTCGTCTCACAAGATTTCTGTATAATTCCTATAAATAGAAAAATGCTTAAATCACAAGAAAAATCTAAAGTATTTGCTATGTTTTAGATATGGAATGTCCCCCAAAGTCTTGATCCCCAATGCAGCAGTGTTCAGAGGTGGAGTTGTTAGGATCACAGGGCTCTGACCATATCAGGTACTCTCTCTTTCTCTCTCTCTGCTTCCCAGCTGCCAAGAGCTGAGCAGTTTTTCTCCTTCATTGACCTTCCACCATGATATTGTCTTGCCTCAGGTCTAAAACAATGGAGCCAGCTTATCATGGACTAAAACCTCTGAAACCATGAGCCAAAATAAATCTTTCCTCCTTTGAGTTGCTTATATCAGGTGTTTTGGTCACAGTGGCAAAAAGCTAACAGCATTCAACAACTTAAAAATTAAAGGAAATCCATTTGTGCTTCTGAATGACAAGAAAAAAATAAATATTTGAAATTAAAAGACATAATACTTTTCTATCAGAGTTTGCCTCCTAAAGCAAATATATGAAGAAATACTAAATTCAGTTAGAATTCTTAGTTAATAGGAACAATTTCACTGAAGACTGAAGGAGGCAAAATGATTGTGGCCTTAGATAATTCAAGCACATTTCATCTTCATACCACCATGATTAAGCATCCTAATATGGCTGGATTTAAAGAAAAATATGAGAGGTTGGGGTTGTAGCTCAGCGGTAGAGCACAACCTCGCATATGCTGGGTTCGATCCTCAGCACCATATAAATAAAATAGAGATATTGTGTTCAATTACAACTAAAAAATAAATATATAAAAAAGAAAAATATGATATATTCCTCCTCCAGAGATGCCTAGTTAATCTAGAGGCAAAATAACTGAGATTAACTGAGATATAATCAAAATTTTAAAGGTTCTTTCTTTTATTCACTTATCAAAATGGAAATCTTCAATAGTTTTGCTGACAAAAAGCAAACACATTAAAGCTGGATTTTTGTTGTTGTTCTGTTTTTTGGGATAAGGTCTTGCTATATTGCCTGGCTGGCCTTGAACTCCTGGGCTGAAGTGCTTCTCCTTCCTCAGCCTCCTGAGTAGCTGGGACTACAGGTGTCCCAAAGCATTTTTTTTTTTTTTTTTTTTTTTTTTGGTACCAGGGACTGAACCCATAGGAACTGAGCCACATCCCAGCCCTTTTTATTTTTTATGTTGAGACAGTCTTTCCCTAAATTGTTGAGAGCCTTGCTAAGTTGCTGAGGCTGGCTTTGAACTTGCAATCCTCCTACCTCAGCCTCCTGAGCCAAGGAGATTATAGGCATGCACCATGGCGCCCAGCTCCAAATGTTACATTTTCTATCATTTCCCCAAATCTTCCCCAAACAAGGCTTTTACATACACAACCTTTTAGCAGCCCCCAACTCTCCTGCAAGTACCCTATACTAAAGGAAAATTCTACTCCTTTTTAATAAAGACTAAATGTCGAGCTGGGGATGTGGCTCAAGCTGTATCGCGCTCGCCTGGCATGCGTGCGACCGGGGTTGGATCCTCAGCACCACATACCAACAAAGATGTTGTGTCGGCCGAGAACTAAAAAATAAATATTAAAAATTCTCTCTCTCGGGCTGGGGATGTGGCTCAAGCGGTAGCACGCTCGCCTAGCGTGCGTGCGCCCGGGTTTGATCCTCAGCACCACATACAAACGAAGATGTTGTGTCCGCCAAGAACTAAGAAAAAATAAATAAATATTAAAATTCTCTCTCTCTCTCTGTCCCCCTATCTCTTTTTTTTTTTTAAAGAGAGAGTGAGAGAGAGAGAGAGAATTTTTTTTTTTAAAGAGAGAGAGAGAGAGAATTTTAATATTTATTTTTTAGTTCTCGGAGGACACAACATCTTTGTTGGTATGTGGTGCTGAGGATCGAACCCGGGTCGCACACATGCCAGGCGAGCGCGCTACCGCTTGAGCCACATCCCCAGCCCCCCCCTATCTCTTAAAAAAAAAAAAATTCTCTCTCTTTCTCTCTCTCTAAAAAAAGACTAAATGTCTAGGGCTGGAGAATACTTGCCTAACATGCATAAAGCCCTGGGTTTGTTCCAACACCACAAAAAATAAAATAACTAAATATCTGTGTCAGTCAGCTTTTCATCGCTGTAACTAAAATACCTGACAAGAACAACTTAAGAGGAGGAAAAGTATATTTTGAGCTCACAGTTTCAGTGGTTCAGTCCATGGTTGGCTGACTCCACTGCTCTGGGCCTGAGGTAAGCCCAAATATCATGGCAGGAGGTGTGGTAGAGGAAAGTTGTCTGTTCATGGCAGCCAGAAAGCAGAGAAAAAGATGCCTCCAGTGACCTACTTATTCTAGCCACACCCCACCTGCTTATAGTTCCTACCCAGTAATCCATTCAACTATTAACCCATCAAATGGATTAATCCATTTGATTAAGTCACAGTTCTCATAATTTAATCTCTCACCTCTGAATATTCCTACACTGCCTCATGGGCTTTTTGAAGAATATCTCAAATCCAAACCATAACAATGTCTGATGTTGGTGACATTCAGTAAGATAGAAAGAACATGGAAATATGTATTATTTGCTTCCTTGTTTTATATACATTCTTACATACATTTATATATATTCTTATTGGTTGTTACAGAAATGGCTAGCTGCCATCAATATTCATTCTCTTCTTCTAGATACAAAATTGCCAAATAAGACCATATTTTCCAGATTCACCTTAAAGCAAATCCCAGAATAATCCCATTTCACATAAAATCCTTCAGTTAAACCATCTTTGATAATGGATTGTTTCTAACTTAAACACCATACCATTATTACACCTAACAAAATTAACAGAATAGGTAATTCCTTAACATCATCTAACACCTAGTATATACTGAAATTCTCTGATTGCCTCAAAGATAACTCTTATAGTTGATTCATTAGAATCAGGATTCAAAGTTCACATACATTTGGAACTTTCTATTTCATGCTATCGCTTTGTTTTTTCATTCCTTTGTTTGTAAAATGTTCCATGATAGCTTCCTAATAGTGTCATTTGCATTTTTCTTCTATCTTCACCCTTTGCTTGTCACTAGAAGTAAATCTAGAAGCTTAATTAAATTCAGTTTCATTTTTTTAAGGCAGGAATCTTTGAATGTGGTCTACCTACATCCTATTTCATTACATCATGAAGTCCATAGGGAAATGTCGGACACCATGGGTGTTAATTATGTAGTATTAAAAAGCAAAGTTTTTCCAAGTAAAGTAGGTTCAACTACCCTTAAGTGGTTATTTATCATACAATGATGGCTAAATTTTCAACTAAAGGAACCTTTCCAAATAAAGTTTTATATTTGTTTTCTTTTCTACTCTCAACAGTATGCTTTATTTCTTTAAAATGTGCAGTAGTGCATGCCTATAATCCCAGCTATTTAGAAGGCTGAGTCAGGAGGATCACAAATTCAAAACTAGCCTGGGTAACTTAATGAGACTCTATCTCAAAATAAAAAATACTGGGAATGTAGCTCAGTGGTAAAGAATACCTGAGTTCGATCTCCAATACCACAAAAATAAAATAAATAAAATTACAAACTGCATATCTGTCCAAATACTTATTATAAGAACAGTTCTCTCCCTCTAAATTAGAAACTTTTCAAGTGCCAAATATAAGAAATGCAGGATAATTGTACAATACCCAACAGCACAACAAACAACATATTAAGAATATAAAGCACTTGGTTTAGTTAACTTTTTTTTTTTACAGAGAGAGAGAGAGAGAGAGAGAGAATTTTTTAATATTTATTTTTCAGTTCTTGGCAAACACAACATCTTTGTTTGTATGTGGTGCTGAGGATCGAACCCGGGCCGCACGCATGCCAGGCGAGCGCGCTACCGCTTGAGCCACATCCCCAGCCCTAGTTAACATCTAAAATAAGATGCACCAAATACAAGATCTGAAAGGAGGGGTAGTGATAGTGATAGATTCATTCCAAGAGAAAAAAAAAAAACTCAACAAATCTTATTTGGTATGATACCAAGTGGTTTCCTAACTGGTGCTAAGTAATATTCAAAAATAATACAGATGGATGATCAACTGAAAAATTTTCTCAGTACCAGTCATAAAGAATGTGCTATTTGGGGCTGAGGTTGTGGCTCAGTGGTAGAGCGCTTGCCTTGCATCTGTAAGGCACTGGGTTCAATCCTCCACACCACATAAGATAAATAAATAAATAAATAAATAAAACAAAGATGTTCAACTAAAGGTGGGACCATGAAAAATAAGGGTTTCTCAGTCTGTTTCCTAAATTTTCCTAGATGCCAAGAACTAAGCTAAAGACTTCTTATTCATTATCTTGTTTAAACATAACCCCAACTCCAAACTGTGTGAAGTTGGTAATATCACTTCCATTTTATAAAGGAGGAAAGGCAGATACAAAGAGGTTGAAGGTTATCCAGGGTTCCATTACTTGCAGTAACAACACTAGAACTCATACTCACATACCATTTTCCTAACATGAGCTTCCAAATATGCAGTACTGGGAAATCACACCCAGGGCTTCATACATGTCAGGCAAGCACAAAGTACATCTCTACCCCCTAATACCTTTTAATAAAACATTCTTTATGCTTATCTTGTTCTAGTACTCCACCACAAATGACTTTGCTGACCTTTGCTTTGTCCTGCCAGTCCTTTCCTCTCCTCTCCCCAAGTCCTACATGTGAGAATCCTGCATGGCTCTTTCCTTTCTTAGTGACCTCATTTTCCTCTACAGCTCCTACTACCAGCTACTTACCTGGAAATTACTAATGACCTGCTCCGATAGTCTAAAATTTCTAAGACTGTCAGCACTAATAATATTTGTGTAAGTTTTGTTCGATGATTTAAGTCTGCCCCTATGCCTGGTACCACCCAATAGAGCAATGTTAACTAAAAGTCCCAGAGGCACCTCAATTATATCTAAACTTTAAGTTGCTTACCTCTTAACAATTCYCCCCCCCCCCCCATCCTCATTTAGTAATGGGGATCAAACCCAGGGGTGCTTTCCCACTAAGCTACAACTCCAGCCCTTTTTTTTTTTTTTCTTTTGAGACAGGTTTTTGTTAAATTGTTGAGGCTGGCTCAGATTACAGGCAAGGACCACCACACTCGGCTACCCAGCTAACAATTCTTTTTTTTTTTTTTTTTTTTTTTTGGTACTGGGGACTTAACCCGGGGGTGTTTTACCACTAAACTATATCCTCAGTCCTTTTATTTATTTATTTGTTTATTTATTTATTTATTTATTTATTTATTTATTTATTTATTGAGACCAGGGGCTTGCTAAATTTCCTAGGCTGGCCTCGAACTCGCGATTCTCCTGCCTCAGACTCAGGAGTCACTGGGATTACAGGCCTGCGCCATCCCCAAATAATTCTTAAAAAACAAAAAACGCCTCCTTTTCGGTCATTTCCTACCCTAGTATCCTTGGCAAGAATGCCAGCGTGGACAGTATTTCCGGGAGGAAGGCGGGAGGACAACCCTGGTTCGGAGCTTCCTCCCTTACCGCACCAACCTCACCTAGCTCAAGAAAAGAAAACCCAGCGACCCTCAGCGCGCCACTCACCGTCGCGGAGCATGGGGGCGATCTCGCGAGATTTGAAGCGAAGAGAGGGGCTGGCTCCTGCGCGACCTTGGCCCTCCAACCACACCACGCAGGCGCAAGACTAAGGCTGGCTCCGAGCTCCCGGGGCTCCCAGAGGCAGGGTTTTGAAGTTTAGGCAAGATTCTTCTGATCCCCACGTTTCCGTCAGAGGCCGGGGAAATACCAAGCTTCAAAAGATACGTCTGAGAAAATGCATTAATAAATTAACCCGGATTGGTCCCCTTTGGTCACCCCTACTGCCTGGACCCAAAGAGCAAATCATTCAACCTTGACCAGGAGTTCACATCCAGCTGCTGCCCTTGAAGGAATTTTATTCGTGTTATGGTCTCTGTGAGCCTCAGACTGGGAAATTACCGTGGAGAGAGACTATCAACCCTAACCCTTGCTTTGTAGGTGAGGAAACTGAGGCTCCGAGGGACGAAGTGTGGACCACCTACCTTTCAGCGAGTTAGGGGCAGAGCTACGGTTAAAACTTCTCTCCAGGCTGATGGCTCAGGGCCCTTTAGTGAGACTTTATGACAGGGTTTAGCCTTTTCTTTTACACAGAATTCCAGATTGCTCTAAAATGAATTACCTAATGTGAACTGATTTCGTAATTTCATTAATTATTAAGCACTTCTTTTATTGCTGGTCCGGGATGAGCAAGTCTTTATCCTAGAATAGCTGTGGGTCCCCGGGGCCTTCAAACCCTTGGGGAGACTATCCTGAATTTACGTGTATAAGAAGTGCTGTTTACATTGAATTCCTATGGGAACTAACACACAAGCACAAGTCATGGTATAGAATAGCTGAAAAATGATTTGGTGTGGTCAGCAAGCAGGTAGCAATCAAATAGGTTAAGAGTTCCTGGTAGCTTTACCTCTAAGCATTTTCACTTCTTTGGAAAAGCTTCAGAAAATGACTAGGAAATATCTGAATTTCCTCAGGAACTAATCTTTGAATCTGTACAGATAGACCTTCAATAACCTTTTGTTGTAGTAACTGGAATCAACTGATGAAAAAAAAATGCTCAAACTAAAAGTAATAGTAGAAAATAAAGGTAGTTTAAAACTTGATCTAAAAAGAAATAGTCTTTCAGGGGCTGGGGTTGTAGCTCAGTGATAGAGCACTTGCCTAGCATGCAAAAAATAAAATAAAGTATTATGTCCTTCTATAACAAAACACACACACACACACACAGACAGACACCAATCAAAAAATGTTTTTTAAAAAATAGTCTTTCAAAGCAGAACTGCAACAGTAAATTCACTTCAGCTGTCACAATTCTAGGGCCAGGTAACAATTGTGATTTTTCTCCTTGAATGAATTCCTGATCCCAAAAATTCAAGGAATGAATTTACAGGTATCTTTTCATCTTGTTTCTCCTCTACTTCTAAAGTTGCTGTCATTTCTATAACATTTTGAGTTAACTAATGCCTTATGTGACTTTTTCCCTATGTGATTTAATTTTTAAAACAACCCTATTATTATCATTCCCATTTTACAATTGAGGAAACTGAAGTTAATCAGCTAAGTACTAAGTTAGATTAAATAACTAATAAGTAAAGGAGCAAATTTTCCTACCTGATTCCAAGCACCTACCCTTCTGCTATATTTGCCATAAATCTGGAAAATTCCCTTCTCTTATCCATCTGCAGAAGCTTAATCCTGTCTCTTTGATTATTCAAACAATTTCTGAGATAATCACTTTCCAGACTTAACTAGAGGGAGGTGTCAATTTTTCTTACACCTTCCTTATCCAGAAATGCTATGGTGTATATGTTGTTTCACTCAAGCATAATATAAACTTTTAATCTAATATGTTTATATATTCATTCATTAAATTATTTTTAATTAAAATGACCTCATATGACTTCCTGTGTAGTCATCTCTGTCAGATTGCAAATTGCTCAGGAGAAAGAATATAAGTATGTCTAATCTGCATAGTATGGAGCACTTAGTTCAACATCAAAGATAATTTGATGCTAAATAAGTACCTTTTTTTGTGGAAGTGATAATTGTTCATAATGATACAAATACATCCTAGAGAAATAACAAGGTAGGAGATAAAACCACACCTGTCTCCCATTAGTCTGTAAGACATTCAAGGTCCATGTATCACTGACTTTGTTTTTCTGAATCTACCAGCACCTTTTATTATATCAGGCCAAGAATAAGGTGCTTGATAAATATCAATTGCATAGATGAATGGATGAATAGAAACTTCATATTTGATGAATCTGTCTAAAGTTCACAGGAACTGTCCAAAACATACTAGAGCTAATGCTTTTAACATTTTTATGGAGATGTAATTCACACATTATAAAATTTACCATTTTAAAATATACAATTCAGTGATCTTTAGTATATTCACAAGATTTTGCTGCTATCAACATTTAATTGAATGATATTTTTATCACCCTTTACCCATTATCAGTCACTCTTTGCTCTTCCCTCTCCTCCAGCACCTAGCAATTACTAATCTACTTTCTGTCTCTATGGATTTGCCTTCTCTGGGCATTTTATATAAATGGGATCATAAATATGTTAGAGCCATTTTTTATTATTATAGGAACTTAGTTCCCTAGTTGAAGAATGCTGCAATGACTCCTGAATTCAAGTTTAAATAAATGAACTTTCTTTGGGCAAAAGGAAAGACAATATTTGTACCTGTTACAAGATGGCTTCTCTGGAAAGCAAACTCTGAGGAAGAGTTTAGTGTGCAGGATGTTTGTTGGGAAAGGTCTTTGGCATCAACACCCATGGCAGGAGAGAGAAGAAAGCAGGGTTAGGCAAAAGAATCAGTTGGACTCCACCAGAAGCAACTCCACATAGAGCATGGGACTGAAATGGCCAGAGTTGTCCTGTGTTGGACCTGAAATTTCTCCCACTGCTTTTATTTAAAGTCACTATAGATCATCTATCTCATAATTGCGTAACATAATTTTCTCTCTTATACTTCCTGTTGGCATGACTGATATTTTTAGAGAGTTAAATGCTATAAACTCCTTATTTCACTGTTATTAAATAAAAGCCTATGCATCTCTTTTTTTTAATATATTTATTTTTATTCATTTATTTTTTATGTGGTGCTGAGGATCGAACTCAAGGCCTCACACCTGCAAGGTAAGTTCTCTATCACTGAGCTACAGCCCCAGCCCACCTATTCATCTCTTCCTCCACTTTTTTTTTTTAATAAACTCTCACATCCTAAAATCATCACCTAGATTCTATAATTTTTAAGATCTCACTGCAGTGCTCTACCTATCCATTTTCCCTGCACTTCTTGTTTTTAGAGAGAGAGAGAGAGAATTTATTAATATTTATTTTTTAGTTCTCGGCGGACACAAAATCTTTGTTTGTATGTGGTGCTGAGGATTGAACCCGGGCTGCATGCATGCGAGACAAGTGTGCTACCACTTGAGCCACATCCCCAGCCCTCCTCTTCCACTTCTGCCAGCATAATTTACCTCCACTAGCCTACTTCTTGCTTAAAATGAAATCTAGAACCTGACCTTAAAAATACAGTTTTCAAAATTAGCGAAAAGTCTCTTAGAGATAAATGAGATTTCTCCTCTCCTCTGTAGCTAGTGATAGAGAACTTTCTGAGCCATAAAACTACTTTAAGGAATTAAAGGTACATAGGGTGTTGAATTAAGAACATTCATAAGATTATCAGTGTGTGGATATTTATAAATGTGATCAACTTTTTCTTCTTGCTATTAATATAAATCAGTTCTTGAAAGTACAATTTCAAAAATAAGCATGAAGAACTCTTAGAAACAGAAATTCTTGCAAAACCATGTGAAAATAACCTTCAAAGAAATCTTTGGGAGCTGAGTATGGTGAATGCCTGTAATTCCAGCTACTCAGGAGACTGAATCAGGAGGATCATAAGTTCAAGGCCAACCTGGGCAATTTAGGGAGATCCTGTCTCCAAATAGAAAATAAAGGGCTGGGGATGTGGCTCAAGCAGTAGCACGCTCGCCTGGCATGCGTGCGGCCCGGGTTCGATCCTCAGCACCACATACCAACAAAGATGTTGTGTCTGCCGAGAACTAAAAAATAAATATTAAAAATTCTCATTCCCTCTCTCTCTCTCTCTCTCTCTCTCTCTCTCTCTCTCTCTCTCCTCTCTCACTCTCTCTTTAAAAAAAAAAAAAAGAAAAGAAAAGAAAAAGAGGTGGGGATGTAACTCAGTGGTAAAGCATCCCTGAATTTAATCCCCGATATCAGAATAAAGAAAAGAAAAGGGGAGGGCTGGTGTTGGGGCTCAGTGTTAAAGCACTTGCCTTGTATTTATGAGGCACTGGGCTTGAGCCTCAGCACCACACAAAAATAAATAAAGATACTGTGTTTTGGGCTGGGATTGTGGTTCAGCAGTAGAGTGCTCGCCTGGCACAGGTGGGACCAGGGTTCGATCCTCAGCACTATATAAAAAATAAAAAATAAAGGCATTGTGTTGTGTCCATCTATACCTTAAAAATAAATATTAAAAAAAGATACTGTGTTTTCATCTACAAGTAAATACATATTTAAAAAAGAAAAGGGGAGAAAAGGGAAAATCTTTGGGGGCCCGGGATATAGTTCGGTGGTAGAACACTTGCCTAGCATACATCAGGCTCTGAGTTCCATCCCCAGCACTACAAAAATAAAAACTTTTGAAAATTTATTAGTATCTATTGTATACAAATCACTCCAAAACCCAAGACCTTAAAACACAAACTTTATTATCTCAGAGTTTCTATGGGTCAGAAATTTAGGCTGGGTACCTGTGCTTGAGGTCTCTGCAGTCAAGCTGCTAACTGAGCTCTGGTGTCACAAGAATACTCAGCAGTGGAAGGATTTACTTCCAGGCTTTCTTACATGACCCTCTATTCCTCATGAGCTGTTAGATTAATTAAGGGCCTCAGTTCCTTTTTGGTTCTTGGCTGGAGGCCTCTCTCAGTTCCTTTCCAAAGGTACCTTTCCCATAGGACTGTATCATACCATGAGGTGAACCAGCAAATAAATTACAACAGGTATATCTTAAATGCTATTGCTTCCCCAAAGCAAGCAGTACAAGAGAGAG